AAAAAAAAAAAAAAAAAAAAAAAAAAAAAAAAAAAAAAAAAAAATGCAATTAATTATGTAAAGAGTCATAAAAACCTGACAAATTATTTGCCTTTTGTTTTAGGAGAGTTCGCAGATTTGAAAAGTGCAAAACCAATGGTCCATCTCTACCCAGAACAAATTCTCTACCTGCATCTCATGACCAGGGATAAAATGGCCACTAATCATGGACCCCATAAATTTGTAGATCCAACAACGCCAACCACAGCGAGCACAGCTTTGAGTGAATCTGCGAGTTTTGAGTGCACAAAATGTGGAAAGTCCTACAGTCGATCCCATTCCCTGAAGAGACACGTAAAGTACGAATGTTTCATAGAGCCGCAGTTCGAGTGCCCCATATGTCACAAGAAATCCAAGCACAAGCATAATTTGGCGCTACATATGCATACACATCGGAAACGATGAAGTATTTTACTCGTTGTTTTTTTCTGTTTTTTACTTTCAATGGCTTTTATTTTTATCGTTTGAGTGGGAAATTGGTATTCAAAAGTCATAATATTACAAAAAGTTACAATTCTTACAGTAAAACGTAAAACTGTACCGTTAATTTAATTACAATGATAATGTACCCTTGTAAAAATTAATCTACATAAATTAAAATCCATCAAAACTAAGCGTCAAGTTGTATTTTAACGCTCGACACATGGTAGTGTTTTTAAATTAATTCAAGTGAGCGTGAGAATAAAATGATCAATTTCTCGCCGAATTTTAAGCAAAAATAGGAGGTAGCCAAGTATTAATAGAAAATACAGGTATGAATTGCTATTCGTCTTGAAAAATGATGTACGATTAATGATCCTTGAAATAAATCACCAAGTTGATAAAAAAAACCAATCAAGTCTGTGGTACATTCCATTTTGCGCTTGTGCTCTTTCTAACGTACCCCAATTCCTGTCCGAGTAACCGAAACAATGTGGGCGAATAGGTATATATACTTTCCAACTTCGCGTGTGAAAAACTGTCGCACCTCTCTTGTTCTTCACACGTGATTATCTGACAGCAAAAGCCACACTTTTCCACTTCAGTCACAACACATTCGTAAACGATAACACAAAGTATGAAATTATTAAGGGAAGACAAAAATGAACCTCTCAACCTCCCACACTGACTGTAAGGTCTTGAAAATGTCTCGGTCCGTGTTTCAGATCCGCTTTCCTCGGAGATGGCCGTCACCTCGGACGAAGGACCGCCGTTTGGTTGTCAGCGCTGTGGGCGCACCTACACTCATCGCTGCAATTTGCTGCGTCATCTACGGCTCGAGTACTCTCATATATACATTCTCACGCATATAAGAGCTGACCCGAGAACTTACCCAATGAGAGGAACTTATGCCGGATCTTACGGATATTTTTCAGGTGCGGCGTCGAAGCTCAGTACCCGTGCTCCCACTGCGAGAAGCGCTTCAAGCATCGCCATCACCTACGCGATCACGAGCACGTTCATCTCAAAAGTAATGCGGTGTTTTCACCTGCTGTTCACGATCCGGCAGTTTTGGTGCACTTCAAATCCAACGAGAAAAAGTAGAGAAAGATCAAATCGTAAAACGTATGACTGTTATATTTCTGCACGTCGCTTTGGATTAAACAAAAAAACAAATTTCATTTCATGTCTTTTTTTTTTTTATTCACACGAAAAATGTATACGATTAACGAGATTTTGTTGTTACAGGGACGTGTAATTACTACAAATATACACACTATTACTTACAAAACCATCGTACATAAAATAATTGAAATAATGATAAATTAGAGATGCGTTATACTAAGTAACACGAAGATGGGTTAGCTATATAAGCGTGCCAAAATTAATTCTAGTCCACGCTCTACAGAATTTTTGATAAAACTTTATCTTACGACCATGAAACCGTATTGTGACTTACCGTCTTTTTTTTTTTTTTTTTTTTTTTTTTTTTTTTTTTTTTTTTTTTTTTTTNTGGGAAAATATACGTAGTCAAGATGTTAGTACAAGAATATTTTTTTTTTTTTTTTTTTTTTTTTTTTTTTTTAAAGTTGAACCGACCCTACAGCACAACGAGAAAAAATAAAACTTTTTTACTCACTTTTATTCCTACGCTTTATGCTTGATAAGCACAATGATGTAAATTATGTAAAGTTGTAACGTCATTATAACCGTAGAAATAAACTTTTGTATAAATAACTCATTGTATGCTTTTTTTAACCAATGTTGCAGATAAAAATTTTTTTAAATTATTTTTTGCGTGTTTAAGGTTGTTTTTCCACAAAGTAAGTATCATGGCTGTAGACTAATATTTAATTTTTTAACTTAATCTTTGCACACTTGTACATATGAAAAAAACCACGGAATCAAAAAAAACTTGAGTAATATTTTCTCAAGTACATACAAAATTAATTTCTCTGCTAATTGGTCGTACGAATTTACACAATCAATTTCAGTGCCTACGGTGCATTTTTTACACTCTCAAATTATTGCATTTAATGGATTTTTTTTTTTCTCGCATCCGTACTAACGAAAGGTTAAAAACTTTTGTTTCAGCGAGTCAGCAGGTGTCGACTAATAATGTCCAAGACCGTTTCACGTGCCCGAGATGCTCGACGAGTTTCAACCGAAAAAACAATCTGCATAACCACCTTAAGTTTCAGTGCGGGCACTTGCCGAGATTCTCGTGCCCTTATTGTCCGTATTGTACAAAGCATTCCCCGAACGTGAGGACACATGTACGCCGACGCCACGTCGACAAAACTGTCTACGTCATAGATCTCATGCAACAGAACAATCCGATTTGAAGAAAATCATCATAAACAACTTTAATAAACCCTATGGTATTAACTGTTGAATTAAGTTTTTAGAGCTCGAATAATACAATGGATAAGTACTTATTAACAGTGCTGTAGAAGTAACAAAATTAATTTCAAAAAATATATTTTTTTTTACGCTAAATATCAAGACTGAGAGATGCATTATTGATTGTATGATTTCGATGGCCCGTGGATATGTTGATTTATTTCGCAATGATCTAGAGTATGCTGCATTACCATTAGGCATAAGTCGATAGGAGTAGAAACCATATTTTTGAAATGTGTAAGAGGCAAATAAACATTAAAAAAACGAAAAAACCAGCAATCATGTTGCTATTTCCCTTTTTTACACCCTTTTTTTTCCTCTTTACTAACATGTTTACAGAAGTTTAAAAAAAAAGAAAAACTAATCCGCATCAACGAATGTCACTAACTCTTTTGAAATGGTAAAAAAAAAAAAAAAAAAAAAAAAAAAAAAAAAAAAACCCTACCATATCGTCGATCTTTTTCCGAGAACAACGCTAAACCTCCTCTAATTGTTCCACTTGCAGATCACGAGTTCCACAACATATTCAAGCCCCTGATGTCCGGAGGGTACGTGTACGAGGGCCCGAAGGGCGTGTCGAAGGAACCCACCCTCGACCAGCTCAATTTCATGAAGCTCCTGAACCAGCAGCCAAAGCCACGTCCGCGGAGTATCCGAGTAAAGAACGAGGCCGAGCTCAAGCCAAAGGTGACGAAACGCCGGCAGCGAAGGCCGGACCCCATCCCGGAATCCCTCGACTTGGCGGACCCCAGTAACCCGTTGTCGCTGGCGAGCGTGTCCCCGGTATCCCCGGCCCAGCGACACTTGAGCACACCGTCGCCGACCGTTACCAGCCCGGGTTTTGCTCTACCGAAGTCCACGGACTTGATTTTCGGCCTCCCGAGTCAGGACTTTAGGAGCGCCGAGTCGCCCCGCCGCTCCTCGAAATGAAGATATAGTCTTTGTACAGATGCTCGCTCGTTACCTTTGTAGCTTTTTATTTCTTACTATAAAAAATTATATTTATTTCTATGACAAACAAACAAACAATGCGCAGTACTCGAGTTTTTATTCCCGCAGTTTACGCCCCCAATGTCGAAGTAATGTTTTTTACCTCGGGATAATTATATAGACACACGGGGCGTAATTATTTTTTTACATGGTCAATGTTGATAAACAAAAATATGGCAGTTGAAAATAAATGTGAAGGGGAAAAAAAGACCAATAAATAAATAAATAAACATTGTACTGTGACTGTCTCTTACGTGTGTAATCCTTAGTGTAAGAACGTCTTGTTGAATAAATAAAAGTTTCTTTTTTTTTTTTTTTCTTTTAATTAAAAAATCCTTAATCATAAATTTGTGTTGATTGCTCATCGACTAACGATCATAGATGTATTAATTCTTCATCTTTGTTTCTTTCCAATATTCTTTGTTACTAACTGGGATTGATCGGCTACTCTCTCGATCCGACAAAAATGCCCATTTCGGCGGATAAAATCCTAAAACAAGGTTTTTCGCTTTCAGGCATCCCCTCCCCACCCTTGGATGTAAAAATTGAGCCAGTTTCCGAGGAGGAGAATCACGGAGATGAAATCGAGCCGAAATCCAAGCCGAGAAAAAATTACAGCCTCGAGCGGATGAAGATGTTCGAGGAGCGGCGCAACGGCAAGCGCCGGGTCATCCCGAATCGGCTGTACTTCGACGAGACCTACTCGTCCAAAGTTACCCCCAACACCAGAAAGTTTTACAAGAAAGCGGACTACTTGCCAAAAAAGCAACCAACGTACAAGGAAAAGCCCTCGCCGGTGAAGGTGGACGAGAATGTGTGCTCGTGCCGCAAGTGCGGCATGACCTTCATGCCCCGCTACCAGTGCCCGTTTTGCGATTACAGGTGCAAGTGGGTCAGCAACGTGCACTCGCATGTCAAGAGGGAACACCCATGCGAGGAGATCTTCGCACTTACCCTGTGGAACGATCACGTGTGCGTGACGAGCAAGCCCCTGGCCGAGCCTCGGCAGGATTGAGAAGGATTTTTTCACTTTGCTGGGTGGACGCGTACTTTTTGTCACACACGGGGTATAAAAACATAGTTTAGGAGCGAACGACATCAGCTCCTGCGGGAAATTCTTGTGCCTTGTTGTAACGTCACGAGCAACTCTTATTGTATCTTCCACAGTTTTTGTTTGTGCGAAACCAAATATGATGTATTACAATGACCACCCACCTGGTTGTGTCCAACAACAACCCAACAACATATTTGTGTTTTGATGAATTTTGATGAGTAGTCCTTATCATCGCTTGAAAACAAAAACGTATAAAAATAAATGTCCATTGCACTAACCCACTACCTGGTTTACTATAGAGAACGATAAAAAGTGCCTATTGCAGTAAAATATTTTTGTAGGGCTAAGCAGCTGCCTGTTTTTATTTTGATAAAAGTTTTAGACTATGGTAGCTTGGTATCATACGTATTATTACTCCCAATAGAACAAAAAACGGTATGTTGCTCAAAGTCCCCAGTCAGTTAATTTTCTCAAGGTTTATTTTTGTTAGTACTATTAATATTCTTCATTCTTTTTACCTTCACCATTATTATCTAATCAGCAGTTGTGCCTAGAAAAAAAAAAAAAAAAAAAAAGTGCCAATTATATTTTTTGAAAAAATATTTTTGATTGGATTATTACTTATCTTTTAATAACATGTTTTTTTGCGTTTTTAAAATTATACACTGATATTTGATTATATTTCTCTTTGTTTACTAGAGTTGATAGATTTAGCTCAACTCATTGTAAATCAATAAAAATGATCGTTATCGAAAAATAAAAATGTAAACATTTTTAACTACTGTTACCGTGTAAAATGTACAAAGTGTTTACACAATATGTGTGCTTACTTAAATCAATACTTGTGTAAAAAATATTTTTGTACAACTAATAAATACTGGAACAAAATGGTTACCATTTTCTAATGATGTACAATTCACTTGAGTAAGAATAAAATGAATATACTTTGTTATTTTATAAGCGTTACGTTTACTGAACATTGCAGTCTTGAAGAAATGAATGAAAACTAGATTCCCTTTACTTTTGTAACTATTGTGTACACGCATGACGCATTAAACAGAGTAGCAATAAAAAGTATTTTTTTTTCCCCTTATTTTGTACAAACAGTTTTAATTGTACTTGTCCTTCTTTTCAACTGTACAGTATTGACCAAACGAGCGGTGTCAGCCTCATCACACGTGCAACCATCGAACTAACCATGGTAAATTTTCAAATTTCCAGACTGGCTAAGATCCGTGACGCTGTTACCACCAAGCGCTCGCTCGAGCAGGTCCGAACAACCCAGAAAACAGCCGGGGGCGCGCACCAGTAAGCTCTTCCCGTGTCCGAAATGCCCCACGGGCTTCTCCGAGAAAGGCTCGCTCACGAGACACCTCCGCTACGAGTGCAACCAATCGCCCAGATTCAAGTGCCCGTACTGCTCTTACCTCACCAAGTGGACCTCGAGCATCTACAACCACATTCGCGCGAAACACGACGGCCAGAAAGTCTATTGCGTCGACGTGAAGGCCGAGGAGGCTTGTGTGGCAGGGAGGCGCAGCACCATGACTGAATCGCTCTGTAGTTCACGTTAAACTGTCAGCCAATTGGAGGCTCGTTTTTTTTTTCCAACTTTCTTCGGCGTGCACTAGAGAAGGATGTTTTTATTTTTTTGCACCCCCACGAAGTTAAAATGCACTTGAATTCCATCGTAACATCATCGGGGACGATTTTAATGTTTTCACGCAAATTTTCTGCACTTGATTGTATATGTATATTTCATCGTTGTATCGTTGTGTGTGACAATGCGATGTGCACCATGTCATTGTACGCAAGGAATAAACTGTCATTTCGTCCACTCACTGTTACAGAAATACCATATAACGCATCATGAGCAATGAAAAAAAAAAAAAAAAAAAATAATAATAATAATAAATATATAAACAGCAAAAAATCGTCGCATCTTGTCGCAACCTCATTTCCGACTAACAATAAGTAGTGTAACGTCCCGTTGGCCGCTCCTCCGCCCGATCTAATGACGCGACATTTTATTTCAGATGCCAATTACTACTACATAGACGTGAACGACGAGAGTCTCGTGTACCAGCAGGGCACGAGCCGCGGCAGCAATTACTACGGGAGCAGAAGAAGACATGGGGCGAAGAGGGGCTCCAGGGAAAAAAAGTACTTCTGCCAGAGGTGCCCCGCCGCTTTCGCGCGTAAGGGCTGCTTCACCAGGCACCTACGCTACGAGTGCATGCAAGAGCCCAGATTCAAGTGCCCGTACTGTCAATTCCGCAGCAAAAAGACCTCCCACACTTATCGACACGTCCGCGAGAACCACGTGGGAGAGAGGGCCTACTACATCGACGTCATGAAACTTCGGATGGACCAAGTGTCCGTTGTTTAGTTAGGATATTATTCTTTTTCAGACATTCACGGTACTTATTGTCATTATCGTTCGTAGACATAGTTATTTGGTTCGTAGTTTTCAGGTACAAAACAAATTATTATTATGTATGATATTTTTTGCTCGTTCGATGTATGGTATTTTTCGGATTTTGTCGTCATTATTAACAATCACCAAAGGGTATAGATTTTTAAGCCGGAATCGAGGGGGAAAAAAACTCGAGTGAGTGTCTTAAACTCAAGTTGGAGGATTTGGTCACGAAGGAATTTTCATCAAGAGTATTGTGTCTCACTTTTATTCGTCGTGTTGAAAATGCTTTGTTGAAATTAAGAAAAACTGACTTTTTGTGACAAATTTTTAGTTCGACACGTGTGTACGTACGTGGTATTACAAGAGATGAATAACACGTTGAAACCCATTCTTTCAATGTCTTTCAAATTAATCAAGGATTTAATTGTACTTTTAGCACTAGTAATATCCACTTGAATTGTATAAACGATTTGTTGAATGAACAAAAGGCTTTATTCAATCAGTTGGACAAACTTGAAAGAAATCTTTATGTATATAAACATATATATCGTTGTATGTACGTTACATTAAAAAATAGCACGCCGGTTTGTATGAATAAAAACATTCAAGCAATTGAATATAAAAATGTGTTGATTTTGTTGCTCTCGCTGGAATATCTCCATATAAACGTATACGAATTTCGTAAGTTACGCGAAATTACGATTTCCCAGATAGTAAATTCAGATTTTTCAACTCATCGTGCATGTTTTATGGTGTTTTACTTTACTCTGTCTACAAAATAACGGTTTGTAAATGATCTTTCTCCATAAATTATTCAATAATTCAATGTCAATAGCGCACATAAATTCCAACATATTTTCGTTTTGTTTTGACAAAAAAGTTTATCAACCCCCAACCTCCCGATATTTTTGTAAAATTCGACAAAAGTAACAAAGCACCGTCAACTTAACCCATGCACTGCACAACACGATGGCCATAACCAATAACTTCTTAAATTTCCCGACTGACCTTCAAAATGTAATTTTCTCCTTTCAGACTGGGAGCTGTTTGCCTTTTCCGAAATGGAGCACCTCGAAGTCAGCCTGGACTTGGTTAACCCGTGCGCCACCGTCGACCCGTACCATCCGAGCAAGCACATGGCCGCAAAAACGAAACTCCGCGGGGCAGGCGAAAAGCCGAGCTTCGAAAAATCCTTCCCCTGCCCGAACTGCAAGAGCGTGTACAACCGTCACGACAACCTCACCCAACACCTGAAGTACGTGTGCAACAGGAAACCGCGTTTCTCCTGCCCGTACTGCAATTACGTGACCAAACGCACGTACAACGTTTACGGCCACATACGCACGCGACACGCGGGCGAGCAGGTCGCTTACGTCGATCTCAAGGACTCGAACAATTTGGTCACACCCCAAAACAACGCCCGTGGGGTCGGCGAGAGGAAGCCGGACATCGCGAGGGATCTAGTCGCCCCAAAGCAGGAGGATGCGTTTCAAGATGCCGGCTAAGCCTACACTTTTTTTTTTTTTTTTTTTTTTGCCCACCTTTTCGCGATGACTCATCGACGTTGCTTGACTGATGTACTATTTCTTGCAATCAACGAATCTAGTCTTATTCATGTATGTTGGTACCTTTGACAAACTCACCGGCTGCCCACTATACGAACTTATTTCACCAAGTCAGAGATCGAGTGTTTTGTCTGCCAATTTTATCGTATGTTGTGTGTTGCTTGCTGTCCATTGTTAAGTTATTGGCTATGTTTTTTTATTGCGTGTCATAAGTGTATGTGAATCACTAGTGTTGCGAATCTTTTATCGAAATGGCAAAAAAAAAAAAAAAACAGCTTTGATCAATAATATCAACGTTTTTTCTTTGTTGCAATGATGAAAAAAAAAAAGGATGTGAGGTTTCGATACAGATCTCGGCAGAAAACAACTTTAAAAATCTCTCATCTCCAACCTGATTCGAATCCGCGACTCACTAAACTGAGCTGCGATTGCTCCTGGTTTTTCATCATGATTAATCGCATTAAAATTACGTAGTGTTAGATCACTTTTACAAAATAATCATGATTCAAATTTCAAATCACGAATTTTAAACGAGTAGAAAAATTTCCAGTTCATATTTACACGAGAAAATTAAAAGGTTTGTGGTTGAGCATGTTAACGTCATTGCAATTCACCAATACCGCTTAAATATACAAAACAACGATTATTCCCTTCATTCCAGTGTGTAAATTTTAAACAATTTTTTTTTATATTCATTATACGTAATAAAGTTATTCAGTATTAAATGCAAGACAATTTTTTTTTTTTTCAATTCCCATGCCCATATTTCAATGTTTGGAATTCATTCCTCCCTCTCATGCGAACAATTATTTAATTTTCAATTTTTTTTAACATAAAAACATTCTAAGAATCGATTTTTTTAGTTAGCACATTTAGTATGTAACACATCTAGTTATTAGTATAAATTATCACATTTCTGTTGTAAAGAAATATAGCATACAGAAATGATTTGAAATGACCGTAAGCCACAACATCATTGTTTTACAACAATTTAAACAGAACAAAAAAAAAGAAAAAAAAGAAAAATCACAAGAAACTACGTATTTTAATGTGAAAAGTCAAAATTATTGAAGACAAAAAAAAAAAAATATTTTACGCAGGATATGTTGACGCAAATACCTGATTTTCGAAAGCAAAATGATATCCTAACTTATGTATATTACGTTTACCCATACAATATGATGATAAATAAATAGAAGAAATATATTAACGTTTGTCATTTCGAGAACGCCATCCTGATAATATGCAGAATACATGACTATGGTCGACAACACAGCACCATCTCAGCTGCATTGTAAATAATATGAAAATAACTCGTTTATCTAAAATAGTATAACACTACGCCTCACATGTATCGGTATTATCGTTATTTCACCAAAAGGTATGTACTTATTATCTTTAAAAGAAATGTACATCTAAGGAATAAAAACTAAATGTATATGCATCATGCTGATGATGAATTTTTTTTTTCAGATATCGAGACGCATTGCACAATTACCGTGGTCTTCTACAAGTCGAGTGGATATAACTTCCATGCATTTGTCAAAAGAGCTATAATAAAAAAAAAGCTATACCAGTTTCCAATTCATCGACTCTTTCCACTGTATGCCAATTTTTCCTTGACAAGTTAAACATGTACATTTTTTTAAATGGCCAACAGGATGATCATAAATGATACAAATGTAATAACAGTTTTATCTGTAAGAAAAACTAAATCTTCCAAATTTTCATGTGGTTAAATCACGTACATAGTTGTAATGGACATTTTTGTACCACTGAGTTATGTTAGAAAATTAACAGTTAGATCTATAAGTATGCAGGATAATAAAAACATAAAAACATTGTTGATTGATTGTTTGATATTTTAAATCAAGTGTCAGTGAGTAGTATTCGTATTAGAAATTGGAGTGAAAGTAGAATACTTATATCTCGTAGTTTATCCTTAGTGAAAAATCTCTTACTTTCTTCATCCTTTTCAAAGATCCGTCCATCCACAGTTTCTAGATGAGATTAAAATGCACATAAGAAAAAAAAAAAAAAAAAAAGAGGAAAACATGGCGCTAACTTTCGTAACGTGTTAACTTTCAGATCCACTATGGCTAGGCGGAGACATTGACTCGGAAGATGACCAGTCACCGGCGGATCAATTGCCCGTGAAAACCGAAGGTAAAAAGGGCACTTACGTGTGTACAAACTGTAAAAATAAGTACAAGCATCTCGTGACCCTCAAACGACACGTAACCTTTGAGTGCGGCAAGCCGCTACGGTTCGGCTGCCCGTACTGTAAGTACCGCTGCAAGAGACAATCCAGTGTTTACGATCACCAAAGACGAATGCACAAGTATCGGAGTATCGGAAATGTCATTGATTACCTGGACTAACACTGGGCCGTTGAACAATTTTTTTTTTCCTACCGATATGTACTTTCATGTGGTTTTGGAAATAAAAAATGAAGAAAAACAATTTCATGAAAATTGTCAATCACGCAGATTATTGCTGCTCCTCAAACAATGTAGCATTAACATTACACATTATTCGTACTTGATCACCCGCTTATAGCATAGGTACGACTAAATTACAAAATACCACCCATCACGTACATATTTATGTATATGTGTTAACGAAGCACCGCAATTCCATCTAACAATTCCAAATGACAAAAAAAAAAAAA